ATATGCTAATGAAAATAAAAGAGCAATGCACTGGATTCTAGTATTGATTTTCCCACTGATCATGACTTTGTAGACAGTTCTCAGAGTAAAAACTTCCTTAGTCCTTTGCTTCTTCATCTATGCATAGCTGGAGGTGATCTCTGTAATCTAGCTCAACCCTAAAGTTCTATGAGTCAATAATAAACATCCATTTAAGTTTAGGTTTAGAAATACAATCAATCAGAAGACACTATATTTTCTGAACAAAAATATATTGTCATTAATTTAAAGTAACAAATATAGATTGTGAATGGCAACGAACTTGATAAATCTCAATTATCAATCTTTCTTTTTCTTTATTTGAAACATTCATATTGTTAAGTTGATATTACTTCATTGGACAATATAAATGTACTCACTTAACTTACTAACACATAAATTACTAAAAATAAGTTTAAGTGTTTGAAAACGCTCTTTCACTTCTCCAGAAATGACCTGAAGTGGAGTTACTGAATTACTTTAATGTTGTATGTTACTGTATACTGAACAGCCCAGTAACTGTTTGTCTAAAGCTAATCCTAACTTATTTTGCTTGAAACAGTTAACTTATTTAATTTATGTCAGTATTCAAAGCAATATCACCTATGTATTTGTCCACAGCAATAAGGAAACTAGCTATATATCACTGGCTTATTCATTTTACCATCTTTAAGGATCACATTCTAAACAGTCAGGCCAATGTAAATCCTTTCATTTTCTTTCCTTTTTTTTATTTACTTAAAGACTCTACCAATGCCTTCCAAAATTTAGCTACTACTTCAAGAAGATGAAAGAATAAAAACTAGCTACTCATTAGGTATCATTATTGTACTTATAGAATAATTTAAAATAATCAAATATCTTCATGAGAAAAATCAGCAATGAACGAACTATAAATCTGAAACATCTCAAACATAGAGAAGCCCAATACTCAAACTCTAAGTAGTAAAGTAGAGGTCTTTTAATGGATCCACACATGCCCAGCAATTTCACCCCAGATCTAAGCAACCATAGTACATGCAGTGATAACAGCTCTTCTCAGGTATGCCACTGCGTAAATGCATGCTTCGTTTCCAGTCCTTTAACTGTTTAGACCTATGATTTAAATCTGTCTTGTAGACATAGAAATAATTTGATAAAGAAGAGCCTGGCCAATAGAGTTGGTATATAAAATTGGTCTTAGGACCAATTTGGTCCTAAGGCAATAAAAATAAAATTTAGGTAATGGCAATAAAAATCACTAAAGCAGGCAAAAAAATGTTAGTAAATGAGATTATGGTTCAACTTAAAAAGTTCTGCAACAAGACAAACCAAGTTTTAAGAACTTTGAGAAAAATTGAACATGTGAAAGAAATTACTTTGTAAACAAAATAATAGTACAGTTTGTTAAGGGAAGAAAAAGCCTATTTAAAAATGCATATGCATGGAAAAGTAAAAGAATGAATAATATTCTCATAATAAAATTATTTATAAAACCAGATAAAAGGTTGACAAGTAAATAATCAAAAGTTTAAAAAAACCCATAAAAATTAATAAAAGAGTGAAATAAAAAAGTTTTTAAGTTTCTGGTTTACAACATATAAGCAATATTAGTACCCAAAAAACAATGCAGAATGATAAATTAGTATTAACGCACAAAAGAATAATAGATGAATTATAAAAACAAACTTTTGAGACATAAATAAGAGAAACATATTCTGGTTAAATGATTAAACTTCAGAGATAAAAGGGAAGGAGAATAATTATGATCTCTACATTCCAGTCATTGGGATACGTATTTTATACAGGTTGTTTTTCTTTTTTTATTAAAGAAATTAAAAACTGTGTCAGTTTCCAATGAGAAAGTGAATAGACTGCATTTGTAAAATATAATGTTCATGAAAATAGGCCATGCTCTGGTTTATTCTTTCCAATGATAGAGATGAAAGCAAAATAACATCAACTGCATAATCTTCAGTCAATGATAAGATCTAAAATATTTGTACTTCACCAAGTTCCAATTCATCTGTGAAGTCAAGGCACCATAAAATATTCTAGGTTGGCAGTTTCAAATTGTCCACAAAATTAGAAAGAGGAATATACTCTATCTTTTCTTTTTTTCTTTAATGTGATACAGCACGAGATTTCAATTGGAAGAAAATTAGGACCCCTACAATAGTTAGGAAACCAACAGTATAGAATATTCTATGGGTCACTGAAGGCTGAAATATTTTAATAAGGAAGTTTTCATAAAATAATAAAGTAAAATTATTAATAATAAAGTAATAATAAAGTAATAAAATAAAATAAAAATTTTATTTCGTAAAATAAAAAAAAATAAGGCTTCAGGATAAATATCCTTCAGGTAGAAATGTGTAAGTCTGGATCATTATTTTCCCAATTAAAATCAAACAAAATTTAGAAAGCTGAATAGCCAGTAATCCAGCAATGAGCATGGAGACATTAGCTTTAATTCTGATTTGTGTAAATATTGGAGGAAAATGAGTGAAAGAAGGTAATAACAAAATATTTTAGCACTTGTGTAAAATGATACGAACGGAGCCATTTTAAAATGGAGTGAAAGCCTCCATTCCAGAGAAACTGAGATGATTGTTTTGTTCCTTGGACTTTTGGACTTGGCTCATCTTTGAACTGGGCCAAAACTTTGGACTGGGCTAAACCACAATTGTTTTAGACAATTGTGTGTGTAAATTAAGCAGGAAAGTGGACATCCTGATCACAAGCTGATGTATGGAGCTTACATATGAAGACAGAATCAGTTGTCAATCATGTATAGCCAAGAATGCCTTAGCTTGTCAGCACCAACATGATTTTTTTCTTTTTTTCCATGTAATTACTCCTTTCTTTTTTCTCAAAAAACAAACAAACAAAAAAAACAAAATAAACAAACAAACAAAATAACCTTGTTTTCATCCTGTAATGGGGTCATTATTTGGTTTTCTATCTGACTCTGTGCTTCACCAATTGCAGTTCTTTTATTCCCAAATAAATGCTTTTTGCCTCTCATTTTGGCTTTTTAACTTGAAGTTAAGACATGTTTTTAAGAGTACGATTTTTCTTTTTGATTAAATTTGAAGGATGCAAAACTGGAATCAAAACAGTAATTTTGATATAATTTTTAAATAAAGAAAACGATTGTTTTATTATGGTTACATAAATACATCACAGGTTAATAAAAAATCTGATGATTTTACTTGCAAATCTGTCCTTTCCATTATATGGGTTTTCTTTTGTAAATAAACTGAGGACTGTTCTAACTTGGCACCAACTCTGATGGCTCCTCACAGTCACTGTTCAATTTCCCTAGAAATGGAACTTCCTGAGGCGTTTACCTTTCAGAGACTCTCAGGAGCATTGAGTCAGCAGTGAGAATTCTGAAGGCAGAAGGCCCTTATTTAAATGCAATTTGAATAACCGTTTAGCAATAATGAATGTCTATGTTTGTCCTTGGGAGATGTGCCAATAAAAGAAGCAGGCATCTTTAGTCTGAATTCTATTGATTTCATGGATAACATCCCTTAAAAGGAACATTTTATAGAGTAGCTTTTGTAGTGCTGGATTTAACAATACTATCTAGGCTGCAAAAATATACATTTTAGTTTTAGGTTCATTTATTTCTATTTTTGTTTTTTTATTGAACCTAATGAGTTTCCATGAATGAAATATTGATTTACAACATTGTATCCATTGGAAAAAATGTTTTCTTTACTGCTGCTGACTTAACACAGGCACTGATTAACCCAGAGGGTCCTTGCAGTGGTCAACTGATCATTTTTATAGTTTTATCTTACATAATTACCACTGATATTAGAAACATGTTTACTTTCTATACTTTTGAATCCACCAGAGTAAAATAAGCAAAATCTGTGCTCAAAAATAGAGAATACAAGAAAGATACACACACACGTATTTTACAAATGAAATGGCGTATTCGGCAATATGTAATAAAGAATAACTGTGCCATAATATTAAATAAACACTGCCTGAATATGCTAAATGAAAAGATAATAATCTTGGATGTATGTGAAATTAACATCTGTGTGTGCCTTACTAGAAATATGCCCCAGGAAAATAATACAGCACAGACTAAAATAAATACAAGGAGAAAAACATGCCATAGATTCTGAATAAAGAAATATGGTGGTGGCAGCATTGACTATAAGGCAGAATATACTAACAATTGATTAATTATAGAAATAATAGGTAAACTTTACTATCAAATAATTATGTACCAAAATATACATGGTTAACCTTACATTAATTTAAGATATTTTGACAGAAACACAATTGTTCACATAGTTTAACCTCAGCCTCCCACCAATCAGACTGAAATAGAACAAAGAGGAAAAGTGTGTTTTGTTTTTTATATTTAATACCTGGTTCAACTAACATTGTATAAATTGAACAGATAATGGCTACTTTTCTGAAATGACCAACCAATTATACATGTTCTGTAACCATGAAGAACAAAGGTAATGAAAATTCATTGCCTAAGAATTTTAAAAAGATACCTTAAATAATAATTGGTTTGAAAATATGCAGCAGTTTGTTTTTATAAATCTTAACAAAATATTTTAATCAGTTGTTAAGCTCTTAAAAGTATAGCAGTAAGAGAAACAAATGTCTAGTTAAAAATATAATATAAATATGAACTATCTGTAAATCACGTGATGTAACATCTAAGAAAATAAATAAGAACCTGATTTTAGGAAGGAATGGAGATATGAAACAATAATAAAACAAGGGATAATTAAATTTGGAAGCCCCACATGGGATTGATAAGAATACATGGGATTTAGAAAAAAAAACATGTAAGTGATGCTTTTTTAGAATTGTTGATTTCAAGTTTGAGATTACATTTTAAAAAAATGAAACTTAAAAACTTAGAATCTACATTTCAGAGTGCATTACTACTGGGATGTTTCTAAGCTTTGCTAAATACATATACATAGTTAATTGTGGATAAATGAACAAACACTGACCTGCAGTAAGAAGTGTGTCCAGGTCCATCAACACCAATCCTTCCATTAAAACAGAAGTGCAAATTCAATTCAGGCTCAGAACAACTGTCAATATTGATCTCACAATATGCACCAGTGTATCCTCTTGGGCAAACGCACATAAAGCCATGGACTGACTTCTGACAGAAGCCTTCATTCATACAAGGAATTGATGTGCAGTTCTAAATTAAGAAATAGAGAATCAAATTTGATTATTCATGGAAGACTAATAATTTTATTTAAACTTGTTTTTTAATTAAAATGTATTGGGGTGACAATGGTTAGTAAAATTACATAGGTTACAAGTGTAGAATTTTGTATTTAAACATTTTTAAGAAACCAATATGCAAGCTTGATATTCCCCTCCTCTAGAAACTAAAATGTTTCTAGTAATAAATGATATTTACATTATATCACCAGAAATATTCTGTCAAATATTCCAATGTTGATTTTTCAGGGAAAAAAAACCTTTATTTTCATTAAATCACATATCATTGATATAAGTTACAATCATCTTATAACTGAAAGTTTGTGCCATTTATCAGCCTTTCCCTAATTTTCCCACCCTCACCACCTGGCAACCACCATTCAACCTCTGTTTCTATGAGTTTGATTTTGTTTTTTCTTTAGGAGTATACATATTAATGATGTCATGTATATTTCTCTTTCAGTCTGGCTTATTTAACTTAGCAAAATGCCCTTTAGGTTTATAAATGTTGTCACAAATGGCAGGATTTTCTTCTTTTTAAAGACTGAATAATATTCCACTGTACATATAGACCACATTTTCTCTATCGAATCATCTGTCGATAGACACTTAGATTGTTTTCATACCTTGGCTATTGTGACTAATGCTCTTATAAACATGGGCATGCAGATATCTCTTTGATATAATAGTTTCATTTACTTTGGATATACCGGGGTTGCCAAAAAAATGTATACACATTTTAAGAGATGTTATCTATGTATTATTTTTCGAAGCTGAATTGAAATACGAAGCAATGTGTAGTATGATGTTCGCTCAAAAGATGACATTTCAAACAAATACTAGCATCATTCATTGTATTACAATTTTAATGAATGTTTTTCCTTTATTAAAATGTGTATACATTTTTTGGTACCCTCTGTATACTCAGAAGTGTGATTGCTGGATCATATGATAGTTATATTTTTATTTCTTGAGGAGAGGACCCTCTAATACTGTTTTTAATAGTGGCTGTACCAGTTTACATTCCCACCAATAATGTATAGGAGTTTCCTTTTCTCCACATCCTTGCTAGTATTTGTTATCTTTTGTCTTTTTGATAATAGGCATCCTAACAACTGTGAGGTAATATGTAATTGTGGTTTTGATCTGCATTTCCCTGATGAATAGTGACGATGAACATCTTTCCATGTACCTGTTGGCCATTTGCATGGATTCTTTGGAGAAATGTATATTCAAGTCTGTTTCCCGTTGTTAATTGGGTTATTTGTTGTTGTTTTTTTGCTATTTTTATTAAGTTGCATGAGTCCCTTATATATCTTAGATATTAACACCCTATTAGCTATGTGGCAAGCAAATATTTTTTTTCATTGCAGAGGCTGCCTTTACATTTTGTTAATGGTTTCCTTTGCTGTGCAGATTTTATTCTGATATAGTCCCACGTGTTTATTTTTGCACTCATATCATGTATCAAATGGAAAATTAAAGGTTTGTCAAAATCATCAGAGTTTAATTAGTGTCATTTTCAATAATAAATGGATTGTGCCCATGAGTATAAAACTCAATTGTTGCCTAGAATCAAGAGGGTAATCTTTTACACTCACCCGAGTGACAGAGTTAAATGTATGTTTTCATAAATAAATGCCATTCTGATATTTGTCCTACCTTTGCTGAAAATATGAACTCCTTAAGGCTAAACAAGGGCATTTAGTAGACTTCATGCAGGTACTGCAGTTATTTTTGTGGAATGCAAATGCAGAATTCCACAGGGGATGACATGGAAACATGTTTCCGTCTTATCCCTTTGGCTGGGTATATATAGAATGATTTGTTAGAAAGCGTTACATAAACTAATTGAATTATATCTCCCATGAGATGCAAGAGGTAGTTTTTAGACAGCTAGAAGTTCTGTCTCTAGGGTTTACAAGAATCTTTTGCTAAATTAATTAGAAGGCTTAATGGGAAATACAAAAACAATTTCTTTTTTAAAAAAAAATCCGATTGCCATTTAAAGTTCTTAATCATTTCTGGTTCAAAAATTAAGGAGGATGCTTTCCTTCTATTCATCATCATTTGTATGACTTTGCTATACCCTATTTAATATAATCAAGTGATTCCCAAGAATTCACTAATTGAGTTTCAGAAAATGAAAGACATAAAAGGCTGGTGTGTTTAGAGAAAAAGAAGGAAGCTGGAAGTAATGGCAATCTAGAAAACTGAGCTAGACTCCAATGCTACTACATTCATTCAACTTGTATTCAAAACACCATGCCCGGAAATGCACAGGAATGGGAGGGCAACAGTAAGTGTTGTATTTACTGTGGACAATTTAGCCAGAATAAACCATCAGATTGGCTAGTACCAGTAATCTCTCTGACAGTTGTGTTCTATCTGAGGTGAATAGTTTAGATCCAAAAGTTTGTCCTGTAATCTCCGAACTTCCCAGAAGATTAGAAATTTATTATCTGACATCTTTATCATTAAGTATCTGTCTCACAGAATCACGTTTTCTTTTTTTAGCACTGCTGTTTTTAAAGTAGGAATACTTTCTACCAGTAAGACCTTAGAGAAACAAAATATGTTAAACAGATAATCATGGAAGTGTTCTATTTGAAGAGGAAAATAGAACATGGTACCCATTAAAGCCCTACCTTATCCACCGCACAGACCTATTAAGCTTCACAGAATTTCTCAAATTGTGTCTAGCTCTGAATAATATACTCTACAGTTTATAATAGCCTGGGTAGCTCACTAAATTGCAGATTCAAACTCAGTAGGTTTGGTGTGAGTTTCTCCATTTTTAACAAACACCCAGGATATCCTGATGTTGTTAATCCATGGACCAAACAGTGAATAAAAATAATCTAACTCAACAGGTTCACCTTTCTCAAAAGGAAGAGAACAAGCCTAAGGCTGTTAGAGTGACTTCACCAAGGTCTAATAGCAGGATGACGACAAATTAAAGTCACAGTGACACTAAATGCCCTGAATTCTAACTTAGGGCTCATTGTACCTCTAGATCTTGATTTCTTTCTCAAAGGAATTTCTTGGCCACTGAGTTGTGCAAACTATAATGTATATGGAAAAGACTTAGTATCTCTATGATTTATTTCCAATATCATTCTTATTCGCTATTTTCTTTCTTCCTCAAAACCTTTATGGTTGAATATGGGATGGAAGCAGTTAATATGAAGATTTTGGTTGATTCCCAATTTAATCTGACTTACAATGGTTTAATGTAAAGAAAATGCACTGTTTAACTTTATTTCAAACATCAAACAAGATTATAAAATACCAAAATTGAAATATTTGCAGTAAATATTAATTTTTATTTCTTTATTAAAAATGTGTCTGTATGTACTTCTGGGAAAGAAGGTCACTGAAACACAGGAAAATCAAACCATTGTCTTAGAAACAGATTGAAATGCAAAAATAAATAAAATTAGAAAGAAAAAAATCATGGTTGAAACTAGACACAATGTCTAATGCATGAAACAAACGTCAAGATTTTTTAAAGGTAAGATAGAGTTCCAAACATATTTAAAAAGCTAACATTTAATACACACTCCTTTTTCCTCAGGTAACCAAAAGAATATTGCAGAAGAAATCAAAGACTATCGCACATTGTACTCTAACTCAGCAAAATGAGGGGTCAAATATGTACAAGTAATCCAAAATATTGAGAACACTGATTAAATATTGCTAAGGAATCTGTAGCTTTGTAAGAAACATGAGGTTGGTGTTCATCAAGAGTGTTCTTGCCCTCACCTATTTTTCTCTTCTAATTCAGGTTTGGACTCACTTCTGCATGAATAGTGAGAAAATCTGCCCCTAACTTGGAGATTGGAGACTTATGGGCCAGGGCAAATAATAAAATAGAGAAAATATATAGGGGAAAAACATGTAGGAAAAGATTCCTAATAAACACAAATAAATATGTTAAGAAAGGAAGAAGCTGTGAGGTCAAAAGGAAATATACACATATACACACAAAAAAAGGACACATAAGCAAGAGAGAGTTTTAATAGTACTAATGATTATTTCTTAATACAAAATGGAGTATGATTAACTCAAACTTCTATATGTGAGACACATAATTTTTAAGAGCAATACACTTAAAATATCTTAAATCTCCATCAAGAGGGTGCTGATTCCATAAACATGGTAACTTCACACCACGTCATGTAAATAAGAATAAAGTAGAACTATATACATTAATGTAGAATGATATGCAATGATAGATTAAGTAAAAAGCAAGGTACTCTGTGTATATGATAAATATCCCCATTTATGAGATCTTTATTTTAAAGATGGGTTTTCAACCAAAGGAGATAGATATTCTCTACAATGACTCGTGGGCAACAGCTGACTATTTGCTGGGGGATTTTAACTCAAACCTTAGCCTGAAAAGCATACTGATGGATCCATCATTTATTGCAAATAAAAAGACAATGAGAAAAATGCTAGAAGAACTTTTTACCAAGTCCCTTTCAAACTTGTGACAAATCCAGAACCTTGAGAAAAAATATCAGTAAATTAGGATATATAAAATTTTGAATGTCAGAATCCACTATACATGAGTTAAATATTATCAAAAATAGAAAAGTGTGCAATTATGGTATACAAAAGATAAATCATCTTGTTCTATAAAAAGCCCCTTATAAATGTCAGCTCACATTTGAAGGAATACAAATAATACACATACATTTCTTAATCGTTTCTTTTCTATTTAAAGAATTTCCTTTAATCCTTCTTTAAGATGAAATCTGCTCATGACAAATTCTTAGTTTTCCTTCATCTGAGACTGTCTTGATTCTTTCTTTTATTCTATAATCATGTTTTCTGTTTTCATTTTAGTACTTTTCTCATATACTTATAATTTGATATTAAAAACAAAACAGAACAAAAGTCTGTTCCCTTTTAGCAGTTATCCTCAGTCTCAACAAAATAAAGGGCAATGTCTGCTTTCCTTATCACCCTACTAATTTCTCCTCTCTCCCTCCCCCTCTCCCTCTCCCTCTCCATCTCCCTCTCCCTCTCCACTGTATACCTAGAAATGAGTTAATAACACTTTGTCAAAACCACAGCACCCATTCCATATCCAATCATGAGTTTGTTTTTTCTCCAGCATAAATTCTAATTTTGAAAGCTTTCCTCAAATTTTCAGATTAACAGAAAAAAAAAAAAAGTTTGCTTGCATTTTTCTCCCTCCAGCCCTAACATAATCTTTGTTTTTCACTCTTCAGGGAGCTTCAGGTATACCACCCTGCCACACATTGACCTAAGTGTTCTTTTCAATCAGTACTGGCGCATCTCTTTAATGCTCTTGTCTCTTTAGTCTGGACAGACAGACTCAGGTATCAATCCACGAATGCCTTTCAGAGGCTATTATCTGGGTTGCAACATAGAGAAAGTCACAATAAATAGGTCAGATAAGTAAAATACACATCTAGGTATCTCCAAATAAAACTGATGGACAGAAGCTATGTATGGTAATTATTATATTCTGACTTCCCATAGATAACAAACATTCAGTATTTGTACAATGAATAACTAAGTTTATACTTAGAGTGCACTTAATATATTAGTGCACTCTAAAAATGGATGCTTTTAAAGAAAACTATTGAACTATAATAATTAATATAGATGGCAAAATTAGATTTTAAAAAGCAGAGCAACAGAATAGATATTCCTAAAACTAGATATAAGAAATTAGGCATTTCATATCAGTAGAGAAATAGGAAATGGTTTTAGAGAAAATTTTGATAAAGTTCTTGGAAAAATATACTATACTTTTTAAAAAATAAAGCAAATCCCTGCCTTTTTATCAATCATAACAACATATTTACCATGATTAAGGTACTAAAAGTGTTGTTAATCCTAAAATTGTAGTAGATGAGAATATGAGAAAATAATTTAAATATTGCTGTGTGAAAAGAGTTTCTAAGGAGAGATGCAAACCCAGGTCATTTTTTAAAAAGTAAAGAAAAATATAAAATTTTCATGATTTACTAGTTTTATAAAGCAAGAGTGACCAAGCTCTACACAAGATCTGAAATGCTGCTGAATCTAGTAGATTTTATCCATAATTTTAAAAACTACATACAAACCAAAAAGAAAAAGGCAAGCAAGCCCAAAGAAAAATACTATTAGTTAAAGGCTATGAGTAGACAAGACCAAATAGAGATACACAAACAGCAATAATCATATGAAAAGGTGCTCAATCTTTATAGCAACCTGGGAAAATTTAAATTAAAAAAATGACATGCCACATTTTCCTCATCAAATGAGTCAACACGTTTTTAAAAAGTGTATTGATTTAATAGGATCTAGGGAAGTTGGTATGCTCATACTCCCATTAAATAAGTGTGGGTTTTCAACACTTATTTGGAACACTCTTAAGCTATTAAAAATAATGTATCAGTACTCTATGAATTATAAGGGACTGATTCCTAAGATAAACTAAGTGAAACAAAAAGGTGACTGAATAAGGAGGATAATGAGTTCATTTTTTTATGTCAAAATAAAAATATTGGAAAAAAATCTAGAAGCATAGATAGAATTTTAACAATTGTTCTCATAATATTGAATGTGTATATATGTGTACACATTCATATATAAAACAACATTTCATTCAGAAGAAGAATGCCACATTTATACTACCAAAAGATAGGGTTTTAGAGATTAATGCAGGCAATATATGCATCAGTGCAAACAAGATATATTCCTCATCCATCCTCTACCAGGGAATTTATTAATTAAAACATTGCATTTTCCACATCAAGTATGGCTTTCACTATCTAGGACTAAATCAACAAAATATTAATAAATCATTAAGATTTTCAAAAATAATATGTCAAAAAATGTGCTAATTGATTTATATGCAATCATCTAATTTAATCACCACAACCTAAGAGGTATTTACCATGATTACCCTCATTAAAATAGCTAAAAACATGATTTCAGAATATACTTGTAAGCACTTAATTTGTCCAAGAACACACAGCAAGTAAGTAGTAAAAGAGAGGTCAATCCTGTTTCTCCTTAATGAATTTGACCACCCCATCTCTCCCTCCAAAAGGATCATTTACTGTGTATCTACCATGTCTTATGTGCATCATCACACAATGACACTGTTATATACAAACTATATTTTACTGATAAGGTAGAGAGACACAAATAATTTAAATAAAATATCCATAGTCTCACAATGCCAAAAGCTGTTTTTAGTTTCTACACTTCCTTCCTTGGCCATGTTGCTGTTAGCCAAAAGATTTGGAAGAACTCTTCATTAACCAGAAAGGCTCAAGAGAATCTCACCCACCAAGAATAGTCTCAAACTTCAGGTAACCAACATTTCTCAACAGGTGAAGCATACCACATAAAATGCTATATATCAGTCACATCACATCCGACTCCAAAAGACTGGAAGACAGATCCTGAGAGTATTATAGGTGTTGAGATTCTCTACATGTACCTACCTCTTGTCTCATCCGTCTAGTATTTATTTTCTCCTTGTGGTGTCTGGCTCAATTTAATGTCCTCTCATTCTTACCCATACACAGATACCTATGTATCCTAAGACCAGGGATGGGGAGAGAGGTGGCAAAAATCATAAGCCTTGTGAGCTCCTTTCGTCAATGGCCATATCCAGGATGTAGTTTAATGAGGGCTCCAGATTGCAGATGTTTATGGTAATAAGAGATGGGGGTCGGGGGAGGTAAAAAGAGGCTGTGGTTTCTGCTTGAAGAATATTTCCAAAAGGGAATGGAGGGAGAAAGAATAGTTAAATAGTCAATAACTGTTGAAGAAATGACTCTGAAATCCACAGGAAGTAGTTTGGTATTCCTTTGACATTACTTTAGGTTTAATCAAAATTGTAAAACTTACATTAATCTTAATTTCACATCTTGAGCTAGTCCATTCTGTATCACATGAACATTGATACTCGATGAGATCTGTGCATCTGAAACACAGAATTAATTTTTTAAATAAGTAAGACATTAAAGCATAAATTTAAGAGAATTGCACCATTTAAAATTTTTCTTTTCCAGTTCACGTAATTAAAAACACACTCCCATAAGCAACAGAAATCAGTCTATTCCTGGTTTCCTATCCTTCAAGTGACTGGACTAAAAAACAAATTATTTTTATTTTTGCCATCTTCTCCATGGCAATGGAAAAAACAGAAGCGTTCTAAAAGTTAAACCATATGTCTAGGGCTTGTGTAGGACACTGAAGTGGGCTATAGCCAAACTCCATTGCAATGAGCTACCCAGCTTCACCTTCTCTTCCCTGCTTACAAAGTCAGTGGTGTTACTAGAAAAAAATAAATAATAATGTTGCAGAAGGCAGCTTGGTGCATGTGAGAGCCACTCTTCTTTGGCACCTGCATCTCTTAGAAATACCCCCACTCTAGATTTGCATAAACTAATATTCTATCCGTGAAGAGGAGAGTTATTATATAATTCCATAAAGAGAGTCAGAAAATACCTTACATTCACACAGGGATGAAAGAACCAGTCTACTTAGGAACATTTAAATACTAAGTATGCGGTATAATCCCTCCACAGAGCAAATAATAGACTGTCTCATCATCCTACCTGCTACTTCTATTACTGTGAGCAGTTACATTTAAGTATATTAAAGTCCAATTAATCCACATTTATTGAAATTACTTTATGTTAATGAGTAGAAATAAAAGAAGGGCAGATAATATGTATCAGTACATTGCATTAAGTAAAAGAGGCAGCATCTGTCATCTTAACTGTACTTAACTGTAGTTTTATGAGAGAGCATCATTAAAATTATCTTTATCAACTTTCCCTTGACATTAAGTCTTAAATATCATGAATTAAATTTACTTTCTTAGATTTAATAATAGAAAAATAAAAATAGCTACCTTCCATGTAGACAAGGACTTGAGAGGCAATCATTTGCATTTCTTTCACAGTGTGTTCCAGAAAACCCACTCTTGCAGTCACAGGTATGATTGATGCCATCGATACAAGCTCCATCATGGAGACAGGGCATTGATAGACATTCATCTATATTTACTTCACAACTGACGCCTACATCAGAAGAGATAAGACATAACATGAGACTATTTAAATGTAAAAGGCAGAAATTTCTTCATTATGATTAATGTCACTAAGAAATCAAGACTCCCTCCCCATAAAGATAATTTGACATCTTATAGCAAAAAAAAAAAGAAAGAACATTTTTCAAGGTTAAACATGTTTAGTTCTATGAACCCTCAGACTACTAATTTAATGTGAATGAGAAAAACAAAGCAGAAGCTTAATCTACTTAACAGATTTGTTTCTAGGGTGAAGAGTTGCTTATTGAGACTATTAGTGAAGTAATGAATTATATCAAGTTGTCACTATGAATACTAATTCATAATTTTTTTTGTACTGATCCTTGAGAGTCAAACTTTTATTACCTATAGGAATTAAGAAAGAGTTTGAGTTTTTCTAAATTTGGTCCTGGTGAGTCTATTAATAGCTATCAGAAATTTCTAAATGCAATCTAACTTTGGCTAAATACCTAGTGTCTTCAAAGGCCAAGTTTTGAATATTTATTAAGCACCTAACATGTGCTACCTCTGTGCTCAAGAAGGGGTACCAAAAAAAAAGTGTGATCCTGCTAATCCAGAAATATGTTGTCAGGGAGACAATATTTATATATAGGAAACATCTAGAGAACAACATAAGCAGAGTTTAATGGAAAGCTATATTGTGTGTCAGGTTTTGCATGTTAGAGATATTAGGAAAAAGTAGAGAATCATTGTAAAATGGTTAAAACAAAACCTTTGTTCAATGTGTCCATCTGTACTGAGCATCTGCTAACAAAAACTACCATTGCTTGAGCATGTACAGGTGTGCCAGGCCTGTGCTGCATGTTTTACATACATTATTTTAGATAATGCTCATCAAACCTGGAGGCAGATACTATTAATGCTAACTCACTCTGAGTAAACAAGGGTTCACAGAGTTTATTATAAATAATGCTTTCAGATCAGTAAGTTATAACAGTAGCTGAGGATGCAAATCATGTTGTCCTTGACTTATGCTTCTAATCATTAGTTTAAATGGACTAACCTGCAATTACTAATGATATGTGCATAAGTCGATATGCTGAGTAGTAAAACATACACTGCTACAAACGAGACAACGGGGCCCAAATAGAGTCTTAGCCTAAGCCCCATGTCACCAAACTGACAATTATACAGTTTTGGCTCTCCCAAAAATTGAATCTTAAACCAATCAATCAAGAATAGCCTGATCAGCATTAGTCAGATAATCTGCCTGACAGACAGCTGCCATCATGTTAAGGAAAATACAGGCACACCTGGGAGATATGACAAGTTCGGTTCCAGACCACTGCAATAAAGTGAGTATTGTAATAAAACAAGTCACACAATTTTTTTTTTGGTTTCCCAGTGCACATAAAAATTACACTATACAGTAGTCTATTAAGTGTGCGATGGCATTATGTCTAAAAACACAATCTATACACCTTAATTAAAAATGCTGTATTGCTAAAAAATGCTAAAGATCATCCAAGCCTTAAACAAGTCATAACAATTTTGCTGGTAGAGGTCTTGCGTCGATGTTGGTAGCTGCTGAATGATCAGGGTGGTGGTTCCTGAAGGTTGTGGTGGCTGTGGCAATTTCTTAAAATAAGGCAACAATGAAATCTGTCACATCCATTGACTCTACTTGCCACAATTTCTCTGTAGCACACAATGCTGGGGTTTGCCAGAGTTTTATTCATAGTGGAACCTCTTTCAAAACCGAAGTCAATCCTCTCAAACCCTGCCACTGCTTTATCAACAATGTTATGTAATATTCTAAATCTTATTATTTCAACAAGCTTCACACCATTTTCACCAGGAATTGATTCCATCTCAAGAAACCAGTTTCTTTGCTCATCTATAGGAAGCAACTCCTTACGCTCTAAAGGGAATACATCATCCTTATCCATCATGAGATTGCAGCAATTCCATCACATCTTCATGCTCTACTTCTAATTCTAGTTGTCTTGCTGTTTCCACCATACCTGCAGTTACTTCCTCCACTGAAGTCTTGAACCCCTCTAAGTCACACGTGAGGGTTTTAATCAACTTCTTCCCAACTCTTCTTAATGTTTGCATTTTGATCTCTTCTCATTAATCACAAATGTTCTTTATGACATCTAGAATGTTGAATTCTTTCCCTAAGGTTATCAATTTACTTTTCCCAAATCCATCAGAGAAATCGCTATCTATGGCAGCTATCATCTCATGAAAAGTATTTCTTCAATAATAAGACTTGAAAGTCAAAATTACTCCTTGAACCTCGGGCTGCAGAATAGATGTGGTGTTATCAAGCATGAAAACAAATTAATCTCATAGTATGTCAGAGTTCTTGGGTGACCAAGACATTGTCAATAAGCAGTAATGTTTTTTAAATTTTTTTTGTTTGTTTGATTTTTGGTGAGCAATACATCTTAACAGTGGGCTTAAAATATTGAGTAAACCATGTTGTAAACAGATCTGTTGTCATCCAGACTTTGTTGTTCCATTTGTAGAGAACAGGCAGAGTAGATTTACCATAATTCTTAAAGGCCCTAGGATTTTCGGAATGGGAAAGGAGCATTGGCTTCAATTTAAAATGACCACTTGCATTAGCTCCTAACAGGAGAGTCAGTCTGTCCTTTGAAGCCAGGCATTGACTTCTCCTCTCTAGCTATTAAAGTCCCAGATGGCATCTTCTTCCAATATAAAGTGGTTTTATCTACATCGAAACTCTGATGTGTAGTGTAACCACCTACATGAATGATCTGACCTTGATCTTCTGGTTAACTTGCCTCGGCTTCTACATCATCTTCACTATGAACTTTATGTTACAGACATGACCGCTTTCCTTCAAACTCATGAACCAACCTCTCCTAGCTTCAAAATTTTCTTCTGCTGCTTCCTCCCCTCTCTCAGCCTTCACAGAATTGGGGAGAATTAGGGCCTTGCTCTGGATTAGGTTTGGCTTAGGAGAATGTTGTGACTGGTTTGATCTATTCAGACCACTACAACTTTCTCCATAACAGCAATAAGGCTGTTTCACTTTCTTATCATTTGTGTGTTCACTGGAGTAGCGTTTTTAATTTCCTTTAAGAACTTTTCCTTTGCCTTCACAATGCTACTGATGCAAGAGGCCTGGCTTTTGGCCTAACTTGGCTTTCGACATGGCTTCCTCACTTAATCATTTTTAGTTTCTGATTTAAAGTGAAAGATGTGTGACTCTTCCTTTCACTTAAATACTTAGAGGCCATTGTATGGTTAATAACTGACCTAATTTCAATATTGCTGTGTCTCAGGGAACAGGAAGGGGGGCATAGCTGGTTAGTGGAGCAGTCAGAACATGCACAACATTTATTAAGTTCACTGTCTTATATGGGTGTAATTCATAGTGCCCCAAAACAATCATAATAATTACACCAAAGATCACTGATCACAGATCACCATAACAAATACAATAATAATGAAAACTTTGAAATATTGTGAAAATTACAAAATGTGACACAGAGACAAAATGTGAGAAAATGCTGCTGGGGAAATGGTGCTGATAGACTTCCTCAATGCAGGATTACCACAAACCTTTTATTAGTAAAAAAATAAAAAAAAATTTAAATGTAAAAAATATGCAATTATTTGCAAAGCACAGTAAAGCAAAGCACAGTGGAACAAGGTATGTCTCTAACTTTGCAATAATCAACCCACCCTTTGGCTTAGTATAGCTTCCCTGTTCCTGCCCCCTTTTATAGCTATGAAATTCTTTCATTTTGTATAGCTCCTCACAGCTCCTTTCTACCTGTTAGATTGGATGCTGTCCTATTCAAACAGAGTTTGTCTCAAATAAACTCTTAAAAATGTTTTAATGTGCCTCATTTTATGTTTGAACAGTTACAATCAGATAACATGGCTCTTGTAGCCAAGAACATAATATTTAGTTGGGAATAAAGATAAGCTTATTTAAAAATAAGCTATTAAAATGATTGTAAATAGACAGGTATAAATAGACTAGATGAAAATAAAGATAAATTTATAAACAAATATTTTTATTGTGATGAAGAATATCATCATCATCATCATCATCATCATGATAATATCATAATAATAATTGGAGACCTTCCTATGTGCCAGGTACTGTTAAACACATTAGGTAAATCAACTCACTTAAACTGTGCAGTAATTTTCTGGCATGGAAATTATTTTCCCCATTTTATAGAATAAACAAATGAATCACAAGATCTCAGCAGTAGTAAATGGCAAAGCCCATGCTGATAGACAGTATGTAATACCACCATACTACATTTTAATAATACTAATGAGAGAGCAAACTGAATGCATTGGGTGTTTAAGGAATGAAGAAACCTGAGAAAGAGTATCAAGAAAGTTTTGATGATCAGTCTTTTCAAGGAAAGAAACTTGAGAAAATTAAAAAAAAAAATGGAAAGAGTGCATTAGCTTTCTATATGAGTTAGGTATCCCAGCATTTGCTTGAATGCCAGGAAATGGTTTGGGGGACAGTGCTATTGGCAGAAAGGCATTCATTTTGCAAGGTGATAGCATAATTTAACTTTACTTATTTACATACCATAGACGAACTATCTATTCAGGTGAATTTTATGTAGAGCTGTCACGCTGGGAAAATCTGTCATTTATTATGAATGAGGCTTCCAATGTAAAAAACATTTTTGAAAATTCTCTTTAGAGATTGTCAGTTTTCAAGTCAAAACCCTATTATTTAATGGTTACTTTTTTTTTTACTATAACTGATATTATTTATGTAGAACTTCGGATATTAATGATACTATAAAAAATAATAAGGTGTGTAAATTTGTCAAACCTGCTGCCATGTTTGAATGGACCATCAATATTTATATTCAGGTTGTGGTTTGAACAAGCATAATAACCTACATCCGGCAGTTAATAATATAAAAAAGGAACCCCCTTACCTAAATCTTAGTGGCTCATGACACACAAGTTTCCCACTCATACTACTTGACTAAGATGAGTTACAAATCCACT